GGAGTCTCATTGGCCAAGATTGGGTCTTGATGTCCCTTTCCAAGCCAAGATGCCGATGCATCTGCTAATTTTTTTTTTTTTTTTTTTTTAGACAAATCTGTTGCCCAAGCTGGAGTGCAGTGGCATGATCTTGGCTCACTGCAGCTTCCACCTCCTGGGTTCAGTGATCCTCCCACCTCAGCCTCCCAAGTAGCTGGGACCACAGGAGCATGCCACCACCGCTCCCAGCTAATTTTTTCATGGAGATGGAGTCTTGCTATGTTGCCCAGGCTGGTCTTGAACTCCTGGACTCAAGTGACCCACCTGCCATGGCCTCTCAAAGTGCTAGGATTACAAGTGTGAGGAACCAAGCCTGGGCCTGCATCTGATATTTTAAATAAAAATTTCCCCCTTTAGTTATCACATCTCCTGAATTAGTTGAAGCAGACACATGCAATTTGACTGTAGTAACAATTTGAATTTAGGGGCAAATGCTGTATGCTATGCCTAAAATATAAGGATTGGGCCAGGCATAGTGGCTCACGCCTGTAATCCCAGCATTCTGGGAGGCTGAGGTGGGCAGATCACTTGAGGTCACAAGTTTGAGGCCAGCCTGATCCTTTATAGTGAAACCCCATCTCTAATAAAAATAAAAATTAGCCAGCTGTGATGGCACGTGTCTGTAATCCCAGCTATTCGGGAGAGTTTGAGGAGAATTGTAAACCTGGGAGATGGAGGTTTGTAGGAAGCCAGATCGAAAGCCACTGTACTCCTTCAAATGGCTTTAGAGTGAGACCGTCTCAAAAAATAAAATATAATAAATATAAGGATTGTTGGCTTTGAATGATGTATCTTTAAAGGCTAAATGTATGGAGTTGAACATGACAGCCCAGCTCCATAATATCTGGTCACTCTCAGTAAGTCATAATGTCACCACTCAGCTCCCAAAAGTAGGATAACTCCATGGCCTTCTCTTCCAGGCAGTAATTGAAAGGATTGCCTATTTTATAGCCACTGTTAGCCCAGCCAGGAGTCCACTGAGTGGAATTTCTAGACTTCTCCAGATGAGATGGGGAGATTGTTTTCTTGAGGTTGTAACAATATCTACCTTCTTTGATAGATGCTGAGCTCTGACTGGAACCATGAGAAGCTGTAACCCTCTTCATCTTTTGGGTAAGGATCTGCCCTCTTTTGACACTGGGCAGAGTAAGAATGGGGGTAGCAGTTACAGTGTATTTGTCTTTGTTTATGTCTGGTGATTCAGCAAATCTCAGTCAGAGAAATGGCTTAATCTTAGTTATACCTTTGTAACTAGCAAAATGTCTTTGATTGGACTAAGAGACCTCCTCGAGTTCATTCTCTACATTCAGAGTCTTGCTGGCATCTTCTAGGTACAAGGCACTCAGTTTATTTATATGGACATAGGCTGCGTTCAGAATCATTTCGGTAATTTTTATCCTTCTCCTTGAGCTACTGTTTTTTTGTTTTTGTTTTGTTTTAAAGACGGAGCTTTTCTCTGTCATCCCAGGCTGGAATGCAGTTGCACGATCTTGGCTCACACAAACCTCGCCTCCCGGGTTCAAGCGATTCTCCTGCCTCAGCTTCCCAAGTAGCTGGGATTACAGGCGCCCGCCACCACGCCCAGCTAATTTTTCGCCATGTTGGCCAGGTTGGCCTTGAAATTCCTGACCTCAGGTGATCCACCCGCCTTGGCCTCCCAAAGTGCTGGGATTACAAGTGTGAGCCACCGCGCCCGGCCCCTTGAGCCATTCTTCTTTTCTCTACAACAACTCCAAAATGAAAGTTCTAGCAAATGGCATTCCCCCTCTGCTTCCTCTTCCCTATTCCCTATCCCATGATGAACAGAGCAGTTACAGTGATACCTAAACTGGGTGTTTATTAGGCTGAGAATATATTTGCTTTCATTTTTAATAATAGAGAATCCCGGACAGCTATTATTCAGATGTATTCCTAATTGTTTTGTTTCCAGGTATTATTGTATATGGACTTAAACATTTTCCTTTCCAATTTCTTGTTGCTAGTGTCTAGAAATAGAATTGATTTTTGTGTGTTAATTTTGCCTCCTGCTGTTTGTTTTAGTAGCTTTTTTTGTGTAGATTCATGAACTTTTCTGCATACATAGTCATACCTCCTGAACAGAGACATTTTTACTTTCCTTTCCAATTTGGATGGAAAGATGCCTCCTGCAGGCAGCCAGCTTGATGAGTAGTCACATGGTTTCAGTCTGGAAGCTGTCACCCTTGACTTCTGGACTGCTTCAAGCAGTGAAATCCCTGTCTGTGATAGTCTTTTCTTGCTCTTTGGCTCTGTGCATGCTTTTTACAGCCTTTTTTATTCCTCCTAGCTGAGTCTTTCCTTCCCTAGCAGGTTTGATTTGAAAACAGTTTCCCTTAGAAAGTTTTAGTGTTCACTTAACTTCTAAGGCATTTTCCTTCTGGCTAAATGACAAATCTGCCATTCCCAAGCCATTGACCACCTCACCTTTTCGATTTCCTTCTTTGGTTCTGTTGCGAAGCTGTTGGAAGATTCCTCCAGACTCACCAGCCAGTCTGTCCACTGGCTCATTCCTGATTTGTGCCAAGGAAACCGTTCACCAGCAGAGTTATCTGGTGTCCTTGCCAAATGAAGGTCTGGGAGGGACTTCATTTTGCCCCCACTGCCCAAAACTTTAAATTTCCTTTATCAAGTAGCTTCTCATGCTGGGAAAAACCACAGTTGGTCTCTACTGCTCCTGCACCTGTTTACAGCTTCTTCCAAATTGCTTGATGGTACCTTTGGTGCTTTATCTTAACCACTTGTACACAGAGTTGCAAGAAGGCTGGCTAAGTGTTAAAGGAGAGCCCCAATATGGCCAACCTGCAAAAATGAAAGGAGTGTTTCTTTGTTGTTGTTGTTGTTGTTTTTAATCTCCTGGTGTCAAAGGGAACCTCTTTGAAAACACTAGCTGAACACAGCTAAAGGAGCAGAGACTTTGGTGACCATACATAAGAATGCAGGCTTTGCAAATACGTTTGGAAAAGTCGCTAAACAGAGTGGACAACTGTAGCCTTCAACAATCCAAGAACAGCCAAACCACAGAGATGGAAGAGAATCTGATTCTAGAGTTACCACATTATAATATTCAAATGTCCAATTTTCAACAAAAAAAATCACAAAGCATACAAAAAAATGAGAAAGAATGGCCTATTCAAAGGAAAAAAATAAATTGACAGAAACCATCCATGAAAAAGACCAGACATTAAAATTAGTAATAGAAGCCTTTAAATTGATGGTCTTAAATATGCTTATAGAACTAAAAGAAATCATGTACAAAAAACTAGAGAAACCAGAGAGAAATGATACATAAATACAAAAGAATATCAATAAAGAGAAGTTATAAAAGGAAACAAATGAAAATTCCAGAACTGAAAAGTACAACAACTGAAGTGAAAAATTCACTAGAGGGAATTCAATAGCAAATTTGAGCAGGCATAAGGAAGAATCAGTGAACTTGAGGTAATACAACGAAATGATTCATTCAGATAAGTAGAATTAAGGCCGGGGCGCGGTAGCTCCACGCCTGTAATCCCAGCACACTTTGGGAGGCCGGGCGGGCAGATCATGAGGTCAGCAGATCAAGACCATCCTATTCTGCGGTGAAACCCATCCCTACTAAAAATACAAAAAATTATCCGAGTATGGTGGCAGGTGCCTGTAGTCCCAACTACTCAGGAGAGCTGAGAGGCAGAATGGCATGAACCCGGAGGCAGAGCTTGCAGTGAGCCAAGATCCTGCCACTGCAGTCCAGCCTGGGCAACAGAGCGAGACTCCATCTCAAAAACAAACAAACAAACAAAAAACAGATAAGTAGAATTTAAAAAAAAAGAAAAGTGAAAGAGCCTAGGGACTTACAGCGGGATACCATCCAGCCAGTCAACATCTGTATTTGGGAGTCTCACAAAGAGAAGAGAAAGAAAAAAGGAATCTGAAGTGCCAAAAATAATAACCAAAAACTTTCCACATTTGATAAAAAGCATAAATCTACACATTCAAGAAATTCAACAAACTCTGGAGTGCTTGGTAAACTCAAGGAAATCCACACAAGACATAATCCACAATCAAACTGCTGAAGATGAGGGGAGAGGAGGGAAGCGGAGAGAGAGAGAGAGAGAGAGAGAGAGAGAGATCATGTTGGCAGATTGGTCTCGAACTCCTGACCTCAAGTGATCCACCCACCTCAGCCTCCCAAAGTGCTGGGATCACAGGTTTGAGCCACCGTTCCTGGTCAACCCCATCTTAAAAAAAATCAAAACAAAACAGTAAATGGCAGAGCTGCAATTGAAGCCAGGTCTTCTCATTCCAAACTGTTAGCCTATGTGTAGTATTGCCTTTGTTTTCCTGCCTTTACAAAGGTAGTTGGGAGACATAGCCTCTGATATGACATCAGAACACCTTGAAACAATTAATTAAAAAGTGCAGATCAACCTGGTGGATGTGCATGGAGTTGCCCCAGAGTGGGGAAGGAAGGCAGAGGATGAGGTATGTGGGAGAAAGGGCTAGGAAGCAGAGTGAAGTGATTAACATTGGGTAGGTTGAACCAGGCTTCATGGGAGGCATTTTCAGCCAGGTTTCAGCTGATACATGCTTGATGACAGCAGAGAAAAATAACAGGGCAAGTCTGAGAATCAGGGATGATTTTTGAATGGCATGACTTTGTACATGGTAAGTCAGTTGTAAAAAAACAAACAAAGCAACAGCAACAATAGCAAAACTCCATCTCCTCTGAAATGTAGGAATTGCCCTGTTGAAGAGATGGGCTGCATCCAGGTCCTCAGGGTTTTGTTTGGGTGAACATTCAAGACCCAGAAAATCCTGGATTTTGTCATGGTTTTCTGTTGTTAATTAATTGGAGTGAGTATGGGGTCATTTATTTTTCTGGACCTTAATATCCTTATCTCTAAAATGAATGTGTATCCTCCAAAGTTCCATCTAGCAATAATATTTCTTCTCCTTTCTTTCAGGGCGGAGGACAATACCAGCCTCTGGCACACAGACGATGGTTGAGAAATGCTTGTTGGCTGGGTGTGGTGGTGCAAGCCTGTAATCACAGCACTTTGGGAGATCAAGGTGGGCAAATTGCTTGAGTCCAGGAGTTCGAGACCAGCCTGAGCAACAGGGCAAACATCTCTACAAAAATAAACAAAAAATTAGCCGGACATGTTGGTGCGCAACTGGGGTCCCAGCTACTCAGGAGGCTGAGGTGGGAGGATCGCTTGAGCCCAGGAGGTTGAGATTGCAGTGAGCTGTGATTGTGCCACTGCATTCCAGCCTGGGAGACAGAGTGAGACCCTGTCTCAAAAAAAAAAAAAAAAAAAGTTGACTTGAACTAATTAAAGGCAGTGGTACTAATTGAAAACCAAATTCCCCCTGTGTGGGCATGTCCTGCTTGCTATCTTGTTGCCTGTGCTCCATAGGTCCTGTGGCCTTGCACCTGAGTTATCCAGCTTGTTGATTTTTATTCCTTGTTGAGGAAACCTCTCCCCGCCTTTCCCCACAAAAATCACTTTGCTTCCCTCATGCTAAACTCTCCCTAGTCTAGGCTCAATCTCTCTATGAATCCCTTGCATTCTTAATTCTTCCTCTGCCTTCTAACTTTCCTGTTCTTAGGTGTGGCTGAACTGGCGGTGTGCTTATTTTTCATTTTCCCTTTGATGAATGGATAGTGTCTCACTTGCTCTCTTCCTGGAGACTGAACACATGCCTGCATGAAGAGTGTGGAGAAAGCCATATGATTGAAGGGGCCATATCTGGTAATGTCATGCCTTAATTGTAGGCTCAAATTTTAATGATGAATTAACTTCTTGAAAGTTGATCTTTAGGCCAGGTGCAGTGGCTCATGCCCATAATCCCAGCACTTTGGGAGGTTGAGGCAGGAGGATCTCTTGAGCCCAGGAATCTGGGACCAGCCTTGTGACATGGCACAATGGCATCTCTATTGAAAATACAAAAAAAAAAAAAAAATTAGCTGGGCATAGTGGCATACACCTGTAGTCCCAGCTACTCGGGAGGCTGAGCTGGGGAGATTGCGTGAACCTGGGAGGTTGAGGCTGCAGTGAGCTGTGATGTTGCCACTGCACTCCAGTCTGGATGACAGAGCAAGACCCTGACTCAAAAAAAAAGAAAAGAAAGTTGATCTTTAAAATGAAGTGTGTACAGTGAGAAGAATATTTCAAGGAGGAATGGTGCTTTCATATATTTGGTTTAAGCAGATTTATTTAGTATTATATATAAATCAACCATGTATTTGATGGACTTCTTCACTTTTCACTTGCATGGCTTAGCACCATACCTGCAGAGCCCAATCTTTCTTTTTCTTACCATAGGCATGAATGCCATTTTATTATTATTATTTTTGAGATGGAGTCTCGCTCTGTTACCCAGGCTGGAGTGCAGTGGCATGATCTTGGCTCACTGCAACCTCCGCCTTGCGGGTTCAAGCGATTCTCCTACCTCAGACTCCCAAGTAGCTGGGATTACAGGAGCCCACCACCATGTCCTGCTATATATATATATATATATTTATATATATATATATATTTTTTTAGTAGAAATGGGGTTTCACCATGTTGGTCAGGCTAGTCTCGAACTCCTGACCTCAAGTGATCCATCTGTCTCAGCCTTCCAAAATGCTGGGATTACAGATGAGCCACTATGCCCAGCCTCTCTCTTCTCTCCTCTCCTCTCCTCTTCCCTCCCCTCCCTTTCCCTCCTCTCCTCGCCCCTTCTCTCGTCTCCTCTCTTCTCCTTTTCCCTCTCTCTCTTTTTAAAGAGCTTGAGTGTCTCTGCTCAAAATTTCAAACTCAGAAAGTTTACTCACCTGGATTGCTTTCATCTGGGCTACTGAGACTGTGTCAGAGCCTTGGAACCCAGCTGATCTACCTGTTTGTGGCAGTAGAGCGGCAGATGCCCTGGTTGGCCTCTGGTCTCCAGTCTCTCCTTGTTCCTCACTAACAGGCCTCCAGCTGGGCTTAGGGCAGCAGGCTGCCCATGGAAGATCACATACCTCCCCAGAGCCCCTTGAAGCTGAAGTGTCTACAACCCAGGTCTGGCCAAAAAGATATCCGTAGAAGCTTCCTCCGGGGGCTTTCAGGAGAGCCCCATTGTTTCCCTGATAAAAAGGGACAAGTCCAATCAGGACATGTGTTTTGCCCTTGACCCCTCCCCTTCTTTCTGTGTGGAGTATGAGCACCATGCTGGAGGGGCAGCAGCCCAACTTTCCACTGTGAGGAAGAAAGTCAGGCACTAAGAGTAGCGGAGAAAAGTTAGAAGGAGGCTGGGACCTTGTTTTCTGTAAGCAACTGCTTCAGCCTTATCTCAAGACTTCTATAATGTGAAAAAAAAAAAAAAAAAAAAACCAGAGAAAAAACCCTATTTGGTTAAGCACTGTGTTCAGTTACTTTGCAGCTAAGTAAAATTTTAAATGATGCGGTGGCTCATACTTGTAATCCCAGCACTTTGAGTAGCCGAGGCAGCCGCATGACTTGAGGTCAGGAGTTCAAGATCAGCCTGGCCAACATGGTGAAACTATGTCTCTACTAAAAATGCAAAAACATTAGCTGGGCATCGTGGCGGGCGCATGTAATCCCAGCTACTTGGGAGGTTGAGGCAGGAGAATCGCTGGAATCCAGGAGGCAGAGGTTGCAGTGAGCCAAGATCGCACTACTGCACTCTAGCCTGGGTGACAGAGTGAAACTCCATCTCAAAAAAAAAAAAAAAAAAAAAAAAGGAAAAAGAAAGAAACCCCATCTCTACTAAAAATACGAAATTAGCCGGGTGTGGTGGCACGTGCCTGTAGTCCCAGCTACTCAGAGGGCTGAGACAGGAGAATCGCTTGAACTTGGGAGGTGGAGGCTGCAGTGAGTCAACACTGCACCACTGCACTCCAGCCTGAGTGAGACAGAGTGAGACTCCGTCTCAAAAAAAAAAAAAAATTTTTTTTAAACTGATGCAACTAGAAAATAGAGGAAAATGTGAAAATTATAGGCCTCAGGAAACACTTGACATATCTTGACAATATTGGCAGCCAAATGTAGCTGGTCATTAATATATTTTGCCCGGTGTTGGTCTATCCAGATTTTGTCAGTGATTATTTGGGTCCTCTCTTTCTTCCTTCCTTTCTTTCCTTCCTTCCTTCCCTTTTCAACAAATTTTGCTGAACAGCTTCTGTATCTATGAAACAAAATAGCCGTATCTGCCTTCAAATAATTATATAAATCTATAATTATGGAACGATCTAGATACAATAAAAGAAAATACAGAGGACAATGAGGATGTGTAATTGAGGGACCAGATCTGGTCAGGGAGGCTTCTCTGAGGGGCTGAGGTCTGCTCTGAGACTAGAAGGATGAACAGGAGTTTATTAGGCAAAGGCGGTGGCCAGAGTGAAAAGCAGCAGCATGCATGAAGGCCCCAGGGCTGTAGAGAGCATGGTGCTTTTGAGGAACTGAAAGTAGTGCCCTGTGACTGAAATATTGAGAGTAAAAAAGAAAGTAGCACAAAATTAGGCTGGAGACATAAACAGGGGCCAGATGATGCTGGGTCCTGTGGTCAGTTTATATTAAGGATTTGGGTCTTTATCCTAGATGAATAGGAAGTCATGGAAGATTCTAAACCTGTAGGGTGACCTGACCAGATTTGAGTTTAACAAAACAAGTGCCATTCTAGTCATATGAACTAGAATGGACTAGAATGGAGATGTGAGGTGCAGGTGATGTGGGGAGCCCATTTAGGATATCAGACAGAGGATGTGGGCAAGGTGAGGGATGAGGGCAGCTTGGATTAAGGGGTGGCAGTGGAGGTGGAGAAAAGTTATGGGATTTGAATACTATTTAAAATGTAAAACTTATAGGGCCTGGTGATGGAGTAGACATAGCTGTTGATGGGTGGAGGAGTTTCAAGAAGACTCCTCAATTCTGGCTTGCAAAACTGGATGTCCAGTAGGGGGTGGGGGTGGCATTTACTGAGAAAAGAAACCTGGAGGAGGCCTGAGTTGGGTGGGGGGCATCACGATGAGTTCCCACTGAACACACCAAGCGTGAGGAGCCTGGAGACAGCCATGGGGCTATGGGAGTAGGTGGTGTGAGTAGGATCTGGTGCTTAGCCGAGAGGTCTGAGCTGGAAGCATCAGCATTTAGATGGAGTGGATGAAATCATAAATCATGAGATCATTTAAGGAGAGAAGACAGTGAACAGAGAAGGGGGCTTAGGACCAAGCTGATACCAAGATGAATAACCTTGTTTCCACCCTCAAGGAGCTATGGCTGCGTAGAGGTGATGAGCTATGCACATATGTAATTATAGTATCGTCAGAAAAGGACTTATACTCTACCAATACCATAAATGATGCATTCGGAGGAGGGAAACACTATACCAGCTGAAGGGATTAGCAACAGCTTCATGGAAACACATTTAAGACCATCTTTTTTTTTTTTTTTTTTTTTTTTTTGGCAGGGGGGCAGGGTCTCACTCTGTTGCCCAGGCTGCAGTGCAGTGGCATGATCATGGCTCACTGCAATCTGGAGCTCCTAGGCTCAAGCAATCTTCCTGCCTCAGCCTCCCAGGTAGCTAGAACTACAGGTGCATGCCACAATTCTTTTAAAAAATTGTAGAGATAGGGTCTTGAACTCCGGACTCAGGTGATCCTCTTGCCTTGGCCTCCCAAAGTACTGGGATTATAGTCATGAGCCACTGCACCCAGCCTTAAGACAATCTTTGTTGTATAGCTAGAATAAAGTGAGGTGGATGAGGGTAGTAATCGGCTTCCAAGTGGAAAGAGTGACTTGACAAAGGGTTAGAGGCTGAAAAACCAAGACCCATGGCAAATTTCAGGGAGTTCAGCTTATCTGGAGATAGGGTATAAGTGGGGAATCATTTAAAAGGTGAGTTGGAGCCAGACTGAGGAGGGCTGCAAAAATACCTGGCTGAGGTGCTTGACCTATAGGAGTGGGGACCTAACTAAGGTTTGTAGGACAAGTAGGGGGAGGGTGCCTTGACTAAAGCAGTGATTGAAGAAGACTCCTGGATTCCCATGTGGGAAAAAATATGTGTGTGTGTGTGTGTGTGTGTGT